TAAGAACCCTTTTTTAACCACGATGAGAATCAGAAACCTAGTCATCTTACAAAAACAAAAATGTATATAAGATCATATTTATAATATTTTATTTACTCTTAGTAATTAACAGAAATTCCTTATCCAACATTAAGGAAAAAAATGCAAATGCTCGTCCAACAAGATGGAGTCCTTGCCATCAAGCAGTAACGCGGTTTTTATGGAGATAGAGCCTATTATAAATGCTCTTATTGAAATAATACAGTTGCCTGAAAAAGATATTTCTTAAGATGCAGATAAATGATTGGACATAATACTACCATATTTTTATTTACCTTAAAATGTAATAACAAACATTTTAATTAAACAAGCATTTTATTCAATAGAGTTCAAAATGGCATCGATTTGACTGAGATTATGAGAATAGCTGAAAGCATCATATTGAAACTTAAGAACATTGTGACAAATGTATATGAGGAATTTCATATTATATGTAGGGGCGGAGCATCCTCGTTTTTATGGGGGGCTCCTAACTCTCCTCCCCCCCCCTCCCCCACTATTTTGTGGTTGCTTTCCCTTTAATGATTGTTTCTTATTATATATCGATTTAATTATTTCTTATATTTTTGGACAAATACATTTCTAAAATAATAGGATAAGCACTATATTGAAGTTATTACATTTTTATTAAGAAAAACATTATTATTATACAATAATGAGAATAACATATTAACTTTAAGAATACACATATAAAACCATTGCATATTTAAAAACATAATCACAATTGGGAATATAAAAAACATATATTCTACATTTAAATCATATTAATTGCACATACAAAATTATAACACTCCCCTCGTATATATAAAAACAGGAATATTGCAAATATAGTTTCAAAAAATAGTATTTAAATTAATGAATTAAACGAGTATTATATAATTTTCGAGCTAATAAATCTGGTTTGGCATAAATAAGCTAAAATTTATTCTAGTTCAATTTGTGTATACTTTTCTTTTTCAACGTACATTAATAAAAATGTCTTAAATTTATAATATTCCATATTTGCCCTCAGCATATTTTTTATAATTTTAATTTAATAAGCGTTTATTTCTTTCATATAAAATGATTTGGAATAATCGTTAACTTGTTTTTTTACAAGTAAAGGCGGTAACTTAATCATTATATTTCTTCTTTGATTAACGGTAACCCATATCTTTTTCAAATAACATATCTAACCATGGTTGTGTATATTACAGCGTCGAAGAATTTTATAGACACATATCAAGCATTGACATCATAGTTATTATTAAATTGCATTATTTTATTTTCATTAGACTAGACTCCTCACTATCGTAAATTATATCATCATTGTTTTCATTAACCCGATTAATAAATCTTTATAAGTACGTGAAAATCAAGACAATTCATGTCGTAATCTGTCACTAAATGCACTTTCAAGCTGTGAAAATTTCTACTAGGCCTTTCACAAATACCCTTAATAATTAAGCTTCGGATATAAATATTGCATATTCATTATAAGCTTTTTATTCATAGAAAGAATACGGTCATACTATTTATAATTTGATCAATTATATGATGAAATAATTCAACAGTTTAGAAACGAATTGGAACCTTGAGCGTTTCTTTTTGCATTCATCACTGTGCATCCTTCTTATTCGATTTATTTTCTGTTTTGGCATTTCGTAGTACCCAGATGCTATCTAGCAGCTTTAAATTATGAATTTTTTCATCTAAATTTGTATACATGTTTTTATCTATTTTGAATGGATGGGATAGTAGATGCAGAATAGCGTCTTCAATCATTTTCCAAGCTGATAAAATTTATATTTAGTTGAAGATGTAATGAGAGATGCTACATTTTAAAAATTTCTAAAGAAATTGAAGCGGATTAAACGATTAAAATTTGCATAGATTCTCAATGAAAGATTAAGTTAATGATGAAATTTTCCTCAAACAATTTGTTACTAAATATTCACTGTAGTGCACTTATAATGGTGGGGATTAAGCTCTCTTACCCATAAAACCATCTAAGGGTTTTTGCACGTGTTTTCTATTATTTGGAGTCCTCGCAGCTTACTTTGGTCAAATAAATTATTTAGAAGGATAGAGTGTCTATTCTTTTATTTGATCCGTCATTATATACTATATATTTTAAAATTTCAATCTAATCGTTTGTCACTTATGTTTTTTATAAATATTAGATTCCTAATTTTACCTAGAGCATCATTGATGACTTTATTAACTGTTGCTTTTCGCATAAAACAGTTAAAAAGAAACTCTTTTATTGAATTTTGCTTTATCGAAAAGTTTCCTTTTTCCTTTTCTATTTCTAAAAGTAGCCTTTTCTAAGTGGTGCCTGAGTATTTATTTATTTTTCCAAATAATTCATATCATCTCAAGGAAATTCCTATCATTTTAATTTTAATTATTAGGATTATTAAGTGTCCCATTATATCTGATCGTTTGGCAGAATATGTTTTTACCTAAAAATTATTATCTCGAATATTTGCTTTGCAGATATCATTGCGAACCAGTCAAATTCTTCATTTAATATTTTAAAACTAATTAAATCAAAACTTGGCTTTAATTTAAACGAAAGTTCTCTTTTTTTGAAAAAATAAAACAAATAATAGCAATATCTAAATGATAATCCTCAAGAAATGATTGATATGATAAAATAAAAGGAAATATAATTAAAATTACTTACAATATTAAAATATATGAATTCGATAAAAGAAAAAAAGTCACAAGTAAAAAAAATAAGATGATTTTTTTGATCGACCTGAAAAATTGACTGTCTTGTGACCTCGTCGGCAAAATGCCTACTTGGTCTTATGGCCAGTCCTCCCATAATTATATGCCGCAGAACTCTATAAACTTAATATTTATCTACCTAGACTCACAGCTAGGTAAGCCATCGTTCCAGTTTTAATATAGGTTCAGTCAAAGAATACTATAAAATAAATCTTTTTATCCCTTTATGAACTCAAATTAATGAAAGGTTCTTGATTCATCATCAGGCAGCACTTACAAATCTGCTTCTACCCTTACTGCGGAATTCTACTTTCAAATCTTAATAGAAAATTAAATATTTGGAAGATTGTTATTGTTAGGATTAAAGCATCACTATGATATTAAATAGTTAAGTTGTTTTAAAAAATGCAATAGATACTTTGCATAATTTCAAATATATTTTCAATTAGTGATCTGCATCGGGCCTATTTTTTCAAGCCCTACCCGAAATTTATTTAAATATAGAAATTATTTTTTATAATTAATTTATAATAAAAGATATATGTTATATGGGGTCTAGCTTCTATAAATAAAATAAAATATTTTTATTTTACTAAAAATTCAACATACAATGTGAAAGACATTTTCTTATATTAGTATTGATGAAACGATTGAGAAATTAGCTCAATCCCAATCTCAAATATTATTGATAAGTTTATATACATTTAATAATTCTTAAGAATATTTTTGTGCATTAATCTATATTTCCAACATTTAATTTTTTTTAAATATAGATTTCTCTCGAAATCTGCCGGTATGCCTTATTTAAATTTTTTTTAAAATGTTTTTAATATAAAATTTATAAAAAAAAATTCATATATTTTTAATATATTCTTATCTTGTTTCTTTTTAAATATATTTCATTTTGATATTTTTTATATTGTATTTTATTTCTAAATTGAAACCGTTCTTTAAATAAAATTATTCACAAATAAAAAAAAAATTTAATATCAAATTTTAAATGCTTAAAAAATTTTAATATCAAATTTTAAATGCTTAAAAAATTTATATTTTTTTACAAAAGTACTTTTTCGATACATTAATTTTATAATGATTGATACTCTTCTTATATACATTTCATATTGCAATATTAATTCATATGTAAATTTGTATATATGTCACTAGTCCTAATAAATTTCTGAAACATAAGATATTTTTAAATAACTCACCTGTTTCTACATTCATTTAAAAAAATAAAAGTGAATTTTATTTTTTCAAGTCGGTCCAAATCATGGCCCGAAATCAAATTTTTTTAAAATTTTACTGAGCTCGATCCTTAAAAATTGTTTAAAAAATCTAAATAATAAGATGGAAAATGATATTTCCTTTCTCTAATTAGTAATTTTTATGTTATTTCCCTTTTTAAAAATGTGTTTAATTCATTTATTTAAAATTTTTGAATTGAGCTGGCAGCATAAGTATAAAATTTAAATTCGGGCATAAAAATAAAAAAAATTTAGGGCTAGGCTTAAAAATTAATAAAAATTTGGCCGAAAAAAATTGAATTAACAGGGCTTTATCAGATATAAATATATAGATTTCCAAATATATTCCTTTTGTGTTGATTTAAAATTTTCAAATTAAAACTGGTCATTTTTTATTTTTACATACCCCCCCCCCCCCCCCAAGGCAAAGCTATTCCCCTGAATTAATACAGGTCAAAAACTTTTCACCTAATTATTTTTGTTAATGCCTAACTGAATATATTTTGCTTTTCCTTTTTTTTCCTAAAACTCATTTTATCTAGGTTAATAGAAATATTTATTCTTAAAAATAAGTGCTATATTTATTATTCGATATAGCTTCCAACTATTACAAAATAAATAATTTAAAATTATCAGATTAGATAGGTATTATAGATAGATATTTATATTTATTATTACAATTTTTTATGTAAACACGACAATATAAAAAATATTATATTATGAATAATTAATATCCGTGTTTTTAATCTTATAAGAGAGGGAGAGGGTTTCTTCTTGCATTTATCGCATAATTACAAATTCTTTTTCTTTAGAAATATGTTATCACGAATTTCTAAATCATTCAAAAAAAAAAAATTCGTATTCGATTTCTGTAAGAATCTATTTATAATTCTTTCAAACTTTTTCGATTTTTTTTTCTAATCATGTTAGAATCTATTTCATAATTTAAAAAATTTCTTTTGAATTAGAAAAAAAAAACATATAAATTTATGGCTTTTTTACTTATATTGATTGAACACTTATCATCGATAGTCTTTGAATCTAACGTTTTTTTGGGATACGTGTCTTTGATATATGATATTTTTAAAATATAAGATATATTTTAAGTTTTTGGAAAAGGCAGCACCTTTATAGCTCTCCTTAATTGTTTGTGATAATCTTATGTAAACCTTTGTCTGAGTGGTTTGATTCTCTCTTTTGTAGGCTACCAAAGCTCTTCTTTAGCATCAATAGAGGCAAACTAGCAGTCATTGTATTTTCTTCGTCAAGGTTCTATAATCAAATATTTAAATTTTAATTTTCTTTCTGAACCCTAACCCTAACCCTAACCCTTTATGAATTCATATGCAAAAGTGTTTATAAAACTATATATTAATAATAAATGTGAAGTGGTGTCACTAGTTTTAAATTGCCTTTTAAAAAATTTTCAGAGAGCTCTTATAATTTTTCAGCGGGCTCAAATTCCTGCGATCCCCCCCCCCTAGTTACTACTGGTATGAATGTGACAGAAAATATTTAGAAATTATTACTTGATCCTGATGTTTTAATAATAGAATATATTATAATTTTAAACTAAGGGGTCTTAAAGGGGGAAGGAGGGTTAGTTAAAACCTTCCTTGTGAGATCTTTTAGAATAAATTCTGATATGTTTTTTTAACTTAAATAATAATTTTTGTTCAGGGATCCAAATCTTAACGAGTTCAGGTTCAAATAAAATAAAAGTTTCGGGTTAGTTTGCAAAAAATAATAATATTAGTTTGATTTCAATTTTTGCAACCAAATTTGAACCGTATCACGTATAACCTTATTAGAATTATATAGGGAATCACATTTTTCTAAAGATTTTATCACCAAAAAACTAAAACCCATTCATAGAGTAATTAACCTTTTTTTGCACACAAAAATATACCTATCTTATAAATAGTGATGTTAAAAGTTACTTTTGAAACATTACTAGTTACAGTTACTAGTTACATTGGCAAAAACATAACTAGTTACAGTTACTAGTTACATTTTTACAAAAGTAACTAGTTATTAGTTACAGTTATTTTCAAAAGTAATTAGTTACTTACTTTATACATCATCATATGCGCATAATTTATTTATTGATTAGGATAAACAAAGTATAATCAGTTATTTAAAATAATATACAATTTATTTATATAAAAAAATATCGCAAAATTGAATATTTACATCGAATATAAAAATATATATTTGCATTGAAAAAAAAACATTTATTTTTCATAAAAATTAGAATCTAATAAATGTTTATTTGCTTTTAACAACAAATTAATTTCAAAGTTATTATCTAGGAGACGTGCTCGTTTATCTCCAAAAATGAGCTTACCTAGACTGAACAAGCGCTCTACGGGAGCACTTGATGTTAGAACAACATTATATTTAATAAAGAGTAATTTTAACTTTGGAAAATCGTTATATAAAGAAAAAGTGTTGTTATTAGATTTGATAAAGTTTTCTATAAGTTCATTATCCAGAATATTTTGGCGCTTTAGGTCAAAAAATCCAACTACATCAAGTGATGTTGGTTTTAAGCATGATTCATTCGTCTGGGATTCACTTTGAGGTATTAAGGTAAATTTGAACGGGAAATTATAACAATCAGATATTTTCACAAAATTTTAAATTAATAAATTTAATTTAAAAAATAAATTTAATTTAAAATTAATTTATCACAACATGATAAAAATAAAATTAATTATTTGAATATATCTTTAAAAGTAACTAGTTACTTTTGGCAGTTACATTTCAAAACTAGTTACAGTTACTAGTTACAATTTAAAAAATATAACTAGTTACAGTTATTTTTTAGCCAAAATGTAACTAGTTACCTTAACATCACTACTTATAAAGTAGAACAACTAAACAGTTTATATATGGCTATCATGTTTATTTATTTGTTTGTTTAAATACTATAATACAGGCGCGTACGCAGGAATTTGGTCTGAGGGGGGGGGGATAATAAAATTTTATAAGAAATATCATTGAGCATAAATTTATTAGGACTAATAACTTTTCTAATACACAATTTTTAATTAATGTGAATTATAAAAAAATTATATATATAAACCGGAATATAAAAAACTATAAAATAAATGTGAATTATAAAATATAAAGTGAATATAACCACTATATGAATCACTTAAATGACCCAAAATAGAAATTTGAATTTTTTGAGCCTTTAAAATTTATATATAAAGTATAAAAAATTTATATGTTGGAAATATAAATTTTTACACAAAAGGTTTCTTAAGAATAATTGTATTTTGTATGTTTTGAATTTTTCAATTATCTCATCCTTGCTTGGCGTTAAATGCCTAGGAATATTCAAAAGATCCAAACCATTCAATCTACTATCAGAAGTTTTACTTCATAAGTATGTTTTTCAGAGACTAGCAGGCCCTGCCCCCGGGCCGAACCGTATTTTAATTATTTTAAATATACCCGGGACGGGCCCAAAATTTTTTTGAAAAAAACATCCGGGCTGGGCTTGAAAATTTTTTTAAAAAAAATATCCGAGCCGGGCTATATATTTAAAACCAAATATTTGAAATCGCCATTATTAGCTATAAAAATCAAAAATAAATATAATTTAAGAAAAATTCGGACAGGACCTTAATTCAAAAAAGCCGGGCCGGGCCTGAAAATTTTTATTAAAAAAATCCGGGCGGTGCCCTGCAAATGGTACCTCTGCAGGGCTCTGTTATTCTTCTTAAAAAAGAGAATGTTCTCTCATTAGTTTACTAATGGGAAGAGTTGCTAATATATACATAACATTTTAATATGGAATATAATCTAAAATGTGTTTGAAATAATGCAAAGCATCCATAGAATTTTTGGGACTACATCAACCATATTTAATCTTTTAATCATAGTTATTCAGCTAATAAGGCATCATAAGTTAACATCTTCATGAAAAATTTAATAAATGTTAATTTTTTTCTATCACCATCAGAAAAAGGTTGGGAAGGCTATTGTGGAAGTTCTGCATGATGAATTAAAAACCATTCATTTTTTGGGTTTATAAATGTATCTAAGAGATAGGACATTTGTTTTATAATACTCTTCTACTGATCCTATATTAATGTTTTGACGATGAGCTTGCTTGCTGCAAGTCAAGGGGACAAATTTTAAACACGTATAGCTCTGCTTTTGACTCAACAATAACATAAAATATGAAATTCTTCATCAACATTGGCTCTAATTTCCTTGAGTTCTAATAAAATGTTCTCTGCTATTCTCATCTTCTTAATCAAGTCAATGCCATGTTTTTGAAAAGTATTACATAAAATAGTTGTATAATTAAATAATACATTCTAATGAGAAAATAAATTTGGAATAAGTATTGAATCCAATAATTTTCTTGCTTCTGAGGAAATATTTCTTTCAAACCATTATGATATTTTAGTAATAGCATTAATAATCGGCTCTTCTAACTCTATAAAAGCTATTTCTGCTTGGTGGCGGAGACTCGATCTCGTTGGACAAGCTTGCAATTTCTTTCTCCCTGTTAAACAAGGAGTTTCAGAGATAATTATTATTTGACTAGAAATTTAGATAAATATTCACTAATATTTGAAAATAATAGGTAAATATTACTCCAAGGAAAACTTGAAATCGAAATTATTTGATAAAATAACTTAGTAGATGAATGTGATAAATAAAATATATATATATATATGTGTATATATGAGATAGGAATAAATATTAACAAATATAAATTAGTATTAACAATAATATTTTTGAAAAATATAATCCAGCATTTGCATTTTTTGGCTTGGGGGGGAGGGGGGGGGGATTTGTCCACCTGCCCCCCCCCGCTGCGTACGCGCCTGCTACAATAAGAATAAATCAATATATTAAAAAACAATTTAGCTTATTAATCAAATGTTATATAATAATCAATGATAAAAAACAATATAATTATTATAAAAGTCTATACCAATATTTAAAAAATTATTTAAAAATGTATAAATTAACTATATATAAATATAAATTATTTTCCTAAAAATTTCATTACCCCGTGTAATTAAAATATTTTAAAAATTTGCTTCTGTCAAATATATCTATAAAGATAAAAAATAGATTTCACTTTGGTCACACCGTCAAATAATGCTATATAAAATAATGAAAAATCTCGATTCTTACTCAAAATTGGTTGATTACCTTCACACAGTTATAGTATGTTAAAATCTTTAAACCGATCCACAAATCTTTTAAGAGCCTTGATACAGGTGATAATTTTTTAAATTGTTTAAGTTCTCGGTGATAAATAACTGTTAATATCAGAAACCTGGAATAAACAACCATTACATTGGAATGCATATTTATGATTTGTTGAACAATCGTGACTGAACTTTTCGCTAAAGGGAGTGAACCAAAATTTATATATATAGCTTTTTAGTCACATGTGTGATAAATCACATGGTTACTTTTTTCAAAAACATAGTGATTCAAAAAAAAATCTCAAAATATTCAAACCCTGGATAAAAATAAGCATAAATAAGTTAGCTAGTTTTTATATTAGCCATCTAGTTGTGAAGTATCTAACCTATATAGCAGAAACCTGCAGGCCCCTAAAATAAATAAATTCAACAACCCGGTCAGGCTGAATATTTTAAAATCGAATATTATCATATATAATTAAAAATTGTATCAAGAAATGATATATCAAATTCATTCATTTCTCATTCTAATTTCAATTTTAAAACTATCTATACCTCACAAATTCATTTAGGGAACTAATTTATAATTTTTGTCACAATTACATAATCTATAAGGAAATAATGAAATATTTCTTATTTAAACAATTATAATATAATAACCAAATCCAAATAATATTTTAGGTAATTTTTTACATAGATTATTAAATTTTATTAATGATTAGAAAATAGCTTACATAACAACCAGCCACATTGTTTTAATTTGTCCTTGTATTAGGTTATAAATTAGTTAGAGATTAATTATTACAAATTTTATTTTTAGCCAATAAAACATACAACATTACAAAATAAATAGATTTCGCCAAAAATGAACGCAAATGTACATTCTTTGGTATTATATGGAAAATAATCATTATTTTATAATAAAGAAGAGAATTTTTAAAATATTAGATATTAAATGATTTCATATTAGTTGAAAAATGAACCTAAAATACGAATTGGTAAATTTTTTCGGGCTCAATATTTTTTTAAACATCCTTAAGAAAAATTTCCGTTCAGGGGCTGGGCCAAAATTTTTTTTACAAACCCAGT